TTTAATTATTCCAAATCTATCGCTATGTTTGGTAAAACTAGTTGATAAACTAACTTATAGTTGTTAGCTTATTTATAGCTTATGTTGATGGACGAATCTGATCAAAGGTTCGAAGATGGAATAATGTGAATGAGGAATAAAAAAAATGGAAGAAATACAATTCAATTAGATTTTATTAAGTAATTACGAGGTCGACCTTTCATAATGAAGCCGTCACTTTTTTTACACTTTGAAATAATTGCAGAAATTTATTACAAGATTCTAGAGAGAGAAAATAGTAGTTGAGAGATTCAACAACCCTAATAAATGAATTGGGTCTTCTATTTATAGTACTCCAGGTCCGACAATGTTCACCCACTGTTCATCAATATTGTCGCACAATATTCTTGCAGGGCAGGCCGGCGTCACTCTGACAGTTATTTAATACAATTTAAGTTTTCTTAATCATTACATGTCAGACATTTAATGCACACAGGGTGGGCATTTAATGCTGACAGACTTTTGTCGGGCTAGATGTCGTAAGGTGGTAGGCTATGGCGGCCTGTCCAATCAATAATCATCAGCTTCCAAATGACATTATAATATCATTATCGAGCTTCGCTCTTGTCCTCGGGCCGGCCATCTCGGTCCTCCTGATCGGCTCTTGAGCTTTTAATCTTCCCCGGACCTTCGGGAATCTTTCCCTCAGTTCGGCAATCGACGAGGTCGACACCCCCTATTAACTAGTGGAGGTGCCGACCTCGATAGCATTCGGCGGTCGCGGTTATCTAAGTCTTCCGTTCAGCTCGACACTTATGTAATTAACTATGATCCCGGTGCTGGATTTTGAGGTCGTCCTTTCCCGATTTACGTTTTGCTAACTCACCTATCAACAGCTTATCAATAATTTTTTAGCTTATAACTTATATAGCTTATGACTTAAAACTGAAAAACTAACTTATATGATAAGAATGTTTGGTAATTAATTGATAAGCTAACTTATTTGTCTACCAAACATAGCCTGAGTTATGCATCTACAGTTGACACTTGGCAATCCAATTAATATATGAAACACAAAAACTTAGATTAAGAGTCAAGTTTTTAGCATTTTTAACTATATAATTAAAGATAATTAAAGATTAAGCAATGGCTAATTAAACCTATTAGGTGTCCGGTCAACAAAATGATTTAATGCAATTCTTAAAAACAAAATTAAATCCCTAGCTGCCGCGTGCCTTGCTACCAAATTTTTGCTTTGTTTATTAATAAACTAATTCATTTAATTACCACTTTATAATCATGCCAAAAAAATAATTAAATATTTCTATAGTAGATCTGTTGTGTCTTCCATAAATGGAAAAAATGATTAGGTTGCCCTATTTGATATACTATAATATTGTACGCTTTCATTCTATTATTGTATGGCCTGATGTTATAGTTTATTGAATCTATATATTTTTTATTTTTTTTTTAAATATTGTAATATTGATCTTTTATATTAGTGTGAAGATAAGAATATGTTGGGTTCTAAGATAATCACTAAATTAATCACGCTTCCACTTTAGATATTTTTTTTGGATTGAGACGGCCTAATAATTGTCTTAGTTGAAAAAATCAGCCTTGGAGATGAGCCAATTGGATTAATGAACAAATATGATTATGCATCCAACTAATTTTATTAATTTCAAACTAATCATAATCACCGTTGGTAAGTTTTATCGTGTCACATGATTTGATTTCCTCGAACTTGTACCGAGTTTCTATCGGCATGATTGTTCGTAGAGTTGTTAAACGAATTGAACACTTCGTGAGTTTAATTTGTCTCGACTCGTTAAGGTTCAAGTTTGAGTTGGTTTGCGTCTAAGAAATATATATATATATTTTTTATGTAATTTTCTATAGTGCAATTTGTTGAGGCTCGAGTTCTATTCGCTAAAAATGATAAACGAGCTCGAAGAGTATCTACAACCAGTCAACCATAGTAAGTTGGTGCAATAGCATTGAACCATCTTGAACAAAAGGTCGTTTGAATTCAAACAAAGCTTGTTCGTTTATCAACTAAATTGAGGTCGAATAAAAAACTAGATCCATTTCTTAATTAAAAAAGCACAAACTAGTTCACGAGGTTTTCGTAATATTTTCAAAAATTATTTTAAAATATAAATGACTTGTTTTTTTATTTATACATATAATTTTATTTTTTTTTTGAACAAAGGCATGAAGTATGAAATATATAAACTTTTAATATTCAAATTAGAACATTTTGAATAAACTAAACTAGCATTAATCAAACAACTTTTGTAAGCATTTTACGAAAATATTTGTACAAGATACTCGAACTATTATTAACGACTAAAAAAACGAAGTCGAACATAATTTTTACATGAACTATAAACAAACGAATGCGAACAATGTAAATACATAATCGAACACGGCCCAAGCTTATTCAGTGTTGCTCGAGATATGTAGTGAATTACTGAAATATCCTTATATAAAAATATTACCAATATTTTACATAAGTACTTAATTAATACTAAGTTTTTTTAAAATTTGAGTCGAACTCGAGCATAACTGGAACAATCTTTCGAGCATTTTGATTTTAATCATTATCGAGAGCTTCAGCGATTGTCACCTTTTGTCGAGACGATCTCGAGCATAATAAATCGAGCTTGACGAGCTCGAACAGATAAAAAAAATTAATCTTGTTCAATAAAATCAATGCTCCACTCGGTTCGACTCGTTTTGAGCCGTGCTAATTACAACCACCACATTGGGATAAAATCTCTCCCATTTAGTGGGGGCCAAAGTCGGCTTACCCACACTCCGCGTCCGCCACGTCTGCGGTTAATTTCACAGTTAAAATCCAATAGGTAATTTTATATATAAGTCCAACAATTTAGTTTAATTTCAGCACAACTAACATTTGCCGTCTCAAATTCCCAAACAAAAAAATGGAAACATTGTTGTTCTCATTTTAAATCCCCCTTCTTATTATTATTACAACATCAAGTGGTTGACATTATTGGAAAAACATTAACTTATTTTGTCCAGTTGTTACAGCCCTCATCATCATCATTTTATTTAATACCAAAAAAATATATGATCCTTCAATAATTTTTTCCAATTTAATATTTTTTTTTTTTTATTTTGCATAAAAGGCCCCCTCATCCTTCAAATTCCCCTAATTCACCATTTGCGAGAGAAAAACAAATAAAAATAAAAAATAAAAAATTCATGGATTTAGAATCATCCCCTAAGAGCCCAGACGACACGGAGATCGACACCCCTCCACACGGCGGCGCGTCACTCAAGCGCCGTCACCACGCGCCGCCGGTGTTGTACAAGGAATGCATGAGGAACCATGCGGCAGCCATCGGCGGCCACGCGGTGGACGGCTGCGGCGAGTTCATGCCGCCTCCCTCCTCCGCCGCCGGCGACCTGCGGTGCGCCGCCTGCGGATGCCACCGGAGTTTCCACCGCCGAGGGTCTCCTCCCGCCATCACGCCGCCGTTTCTCGACTTCCGTCGCCCGCCGCCGCCAAAGCGGTTCTCCCTCTCCCCGCCGACGACGGCGGCGCGGCCGTTCTTCGTGGAGGAGAGCCAGCCGGCGCCGGTGACGCCGACGGCGGAAAACCCGGCCTGCCGTAAGCGGTTCCGGACGAGGTTCAGCCAGGAGCAGAAGGAGAAGATGCATCGGTTCGCGGCGGCGATGGGGTGGAGGATGCAGAAGTCCGACGATGCGGCGGTGAGGGAGTTCTGCCGGGAGGTTGGGGTCACTAAAGGGGTGCTCAAGGTGTGGA